GAGTACCCCTGCCGAACTGGAACCGAGCAATTGTGCAGGGGCGATTTCCAGTTGGCCTTAAATCGAGACTCGCGGATCCCGGAGTATCCCGACAGCCGAAGCCAGCATTACCTTCTAACCCCAGGCTTCGTGGCCATCACCACTAACTTCCCTCCCTATTACAACGTCCTCCCGTATCACCAACTACTTGTCGTCCCCTGGGAGTCCATAGCCCGGTTCTGGCCCTGACCGCCGTGCTCAGATTGCCAGCAGCACGACGAGTACCGTCCGGCGGGGATCACTCGACGACCCCATTCCAAAACAGAACAACGGGAGCGCAGCTCATCGTCCTCAGCCTCGGAGACTTGCGTCGGCCGACATCGGTACGAGCATTCCCACTGGGACACCTGCGTCGCCCCACCCGATCACCATACGCGGATCAGGCCGCGAGATCAGCCATCACCACAACTCTGAGCTGAAAGCGACACTTGCACTTCTACCCCCGGAACTTGACACAGGAGATTCCAGTTCCGACCTGGAACTCCACCCCCAAAATCCTTGGCACACCCCTTTTCGCACTTCCAGGCCCACTAACACTCCGAAAACAGGAAGTCGCGCTGGGCGTGAGGTTGGGCGTCACAGTACAGCTCCACCTATACTGCAGTGATTCAAGTGGAGGAGCTCCAGCACAAAACACATTGGTTGCCACAGCCCAGGAGTTCCAGCGCAAAACGAATTGGTCGCCCGGCTGCTTGAGGAAAGCAGAATCAGGCACCAAGTTTGCGCCTTTGCAAGGAAAGACCTGAGGAAGAACAAACACTTGCTACACTTAATTCGGGCACAGGTCTGCCTATAATGCCAATCAGAGGAATTCCAGCGCAAAACGCATTGGTTGCCCCTCTCATTCTTCGTAAGACAAGAATTCCAGCGTGAACATGCTATGACAGGGAATGCCAGCTTCTGCTATATAGCCCAACAGCTGGGTCCTACCATAGAACCCGGCCAAGTGAACCTGGACTATCACTCCCGTACTGCAAGCCAGAGCCTCTGCAGTCCACCATTTGGCACCAAAGTTGTAAGGCCAATAGCCATCATTAGAACACAACACACCTTCTAAATGCGTAGTCACACTACCGCCAGTACTTTTCTCATACATTGGTCGTGGGCGCTGCACGCTGAGCGCAGTCGGTGGATGTCGTCGGCGCTGGAGGCCAAATCGGGGCCCCATGTTAACCACTGCGGCCCTGATCCCAAGCGGGGAAAGGTACTGGTGGTTTAAATGTACCTGACCGCATTAACGGCCGACTTATATGCCTCTGGCCAACATTCCGTCCACAAATAGTGTGAGTATGCCCTAAAGCAGCATAAACAAGAAAGCACAGCCCCCCCCCCCCCAAAAAAAAAAAGGCAGAACATCATACACGCTACAGGGTGTATATATATATAAATACAGGTATATGTATGTATATATTTTGTCAAACAGAACATATACATCGTGTGTATATATCATCAAACAGAACTGCACCGTCAACCATAGGCACAGAGGGACAAGAGGACAGCAAACGAGGGGCTGTGACTGACTTTTTCGTCGGAGTTTCACTGACTTGCCAGGGAGGCTATATATATCGTCACATTTATATATCGTCAATATATATAGCCTCCTGATGAGTCGGTGAAACTCCGACGAAACAGTTTGTCACAGCCCCTCGTTTGTTGTCCTCTTCTCCCTCTCTGCCTACGGTTTACCGGGCAGTTCTATTTGACGATATATATATCGTCACAAACATATATATATAAACATATTATTATATATATATCGTCAAACAGAGCTGCGCGGTAAACTGTGGGCAGAGAGGGAGAAGAGGACAACAAACAAGCGGCTGTGACAAACTGTTTCATCAGAGTTTGACCGACTCATCACGAGGCTGAACCCTCGACAGTCTGCAGAATCCCCTCAACTGATTACACTGTAAGTGACAATCCACCTTAACCCCGGCTGTGATTAAGCATCAATGACTGCCCGACAACTGATACCCTGAGGTGGGCACGGACCACTGCCCTCAAGGTACCTGTGACAAAAATGAAAGCAGACTATCACTCACCCACACCAGATGCAAAACTCTACAGACTGTTCGTTCACACCCCATCACAAGCCAGCAAAACACCCACGAAACAAAGAAAGGTCCGTCACAGCCAAAAAATACACTCCAGACACGCCACTGGCACTAGAGGCACAGCATGGCCACGTAGTGACGGCCTCCACCACTGCCGCTCGACCTGACCGGAGAAAACCGTAGCAGGGTGCTAGCCCAGTCATGGTATCTGGGTCTCGCTGCACTACTCTCCACTTTCCAATTTCAGAGAGTTTTTCATGGCTGCACTTAACTGTCCGATTCCACCACCCAAAACCCTCGGATACCTGTCAAAAACCACCATAGAAAAGCACTCTCCATGGGCAGATCCATGGGCAGAGACTGCCCAGCCTGCAAAATTCGTTACGCAGATAGACCTTTGAGGAACTCACTGTAGGACCTCGATTTGGAGTGTGACAAAACGGTGATGACGCCGTGTCTTCATCTGCTGTCACGATGTCTGCTAGTGGACTCCGGAATCGGAGCATTACATCCAACTTCCTTACCAAATTTGAAATAAAGTTAATAAACATTAAAAACAGAAAATAAAACACATAATAAAAATAAGAAAATTTTGAAAAGAGAATGAAAATTAGTGAGTGAGCCAGAACGTTTTCGACACCGCCATCTTTGGMTATTTTTTTTTTTTTTTTTGGCACAGCCAAATGCCCTGAAATTTACAGATGTGTACTTCACATAATACAAAACTCGCTAAAAAGAATTCAAAATATAATAAAATTGTTTAGGCCCCGCAATAAAGTGAAAACAAAAAGTAAAAAGTGAAAAAAAACAAAATAGTCATGTTTTGACACCACCATCTTTGGCAAATTTTAATTTTTGTTTGACTTAGCAAAATTACTTCAACATGTACCTCACACCTGTACTAGTTTTCTCGTCATTCTTTCTGTAGATCTATCCATAGCTGTACATTTAGTAGTGTTTTCTTGTCATTCTTTCTGTAGACCAATTATAGCTGTACATTTAGTAGTGTTCATATCTGGAAACACTTAGGCATAGTTAGTTTTCACCCGCACGATTGATGGTAAAATGGGATAAGATAGATGTTGGGGCGCTGCTTCGAATTTCTGTTCGTCTATCAGGTTGTTGCTTGGGAGAGACGTTTTAAACAGACAATTTCGCAGTCTGGACCCATGCCCGGCCGGAGTTGCCGGGTCTGGAAGGGACGCCGCGCCCGTTTCCCGGCTTAATGAAAAACAAAAGATTGCAGGAAAAAAAAAAAAAAAAAAAGAGAACTCAGAAAAAAAAAATCAGAAAAAAGAACTTATTTTTAGGCCCGGAAATAATTTTTGGCGGGGGCCAAACGCCTTCGGGTTTGGACCCCAAATTGGACCCCAAACGCCCGTACGTACGTAGGTCGGCCCGAGGACCTCCATACATACGGGCTGGTGACCCTGTATACATATATATATGTATCGTCAAACAGAGCTGCCCGGTAAACCATAGGCAGAGAGGGAGAAGAGGACAACAGACGAAGGGCTGTGACAAACTGTTTCATCGGAGTTTCACCGACTCGTCAGGACGCTGAACCCTATATATATATCATCACAAACAGAACTGCCCGGTAAAACCGTAGGCAGAGAGAGAGAAGAGGACAACAAACGAGGGGCTGTGACAAACTGTTTCGTCGGAGTTTCACCGACTCATCAGGAGGCTGAACCCTCTACAGTCTGCAGAATCCCCTCACTGATTACACTGTAAATGATAATCTACCTTAACCAAAATCAAAGTAGACTATCACTCACCCACACCAGATGGAAAACTCTACAGACTGTCTGTTCACACCCCATCACAAGCCAGCAAAACATCCACGAAA